TCCTGGTCGATACGGGAGCATCGGCGACTATTATTTCGGAATTAATTTATAATATTCTCCCTGTCCGGAGTCGTCCCTTGATGCCAGTTAACATACCATTCTATGCGGCTAACGGGGGCTCACTTGGCATCATCGGACAAATTCGTGCCCAAATTTGTATCGGGGAAATAAAATTATCTGGGCCGATTTTTGTTTCTTCCTCGCTGGCGGTTCCGTGCCTGCTGGGGACAGACTTCCTGGCCAAAATGCCGATTGTAATTTTGATCGACCAGGGTTGCATAGAGCTTCCGTCGGGCAGACGCATGGCGTTTCTGCCATCACCGGTTGCGACGCGGACGGCGTTCGCGACGGTGCCGGCGTTCGTGGAGAGAACGGTACGCGTCCCTCCGGGGACGCAAATGTTGGTACCCTTGAAACTTCGGCGGCCCCTCGTTACGGGTGCTGGGGCACAAGGGGTACTGTTGGGACCGTCTAGGGCCGGGGTTAGTGGACCTGACTTACTTCCGGCCCAGACCATAGTGAGAGGGAATGGTGAACCCTTCATCGCGGTCCTAAATGTGGGCTCGCGGACGGTGGTGGTCCCACAGGGGACCGTGCTTGCTCACGCAACGCCGGTGCCGTGTGAGGAACCCGCCGTAAATAGCGTCAACACTGTCCCTGCGTCGCAACCGCATTTGGACAGCGATGAAGGGTGGCTCGAGGCGCTTTGTGCGGGATCGACGGACCTGTCCGATTCAGAGCGTCAACAACTTAAAACACTACTGCGAGAATTTTCCGACGTTTTTAGTCGAAATAAATATGATTTGGGTTGCACTCACTTGCTGCGTCACCATATTGACACGGGTGACAGCGCGCCAATTCGCCAAAATCCGTTTCGGTTGAGTCCCGCCGAAAAGGACCATGTCAAATCGGCTGTTGATGACATGTTGGCCGCAGACATTATTTCTCCTTCCACCAGCCCTTGGGGAGCGCCGATCGTCCTGGTTAAAAAGCAGGACGGTTCGTTGCGGTTTTGCGTTGACTTCCGGCGTCTTAATAAAATTTCGGTTGCCCTCGGATGGATGAATCGCTTGACGCCTTGGCGGGAGCGCGATTCTTTTCCACACTCGATTTACTTTCGGGATTCTGGCAGCTTCCTCTGGATGATGAGTCAAAGCCTAAAACTGCTTTTCGTACACCGCACGGCTTGTTTCAATTCAACCGGTTGCCGATGGGCTTACACTCAGCGCCGGCAACTTTCCAGCGTTTAATGGAATTGGTTTTGGCTGGACTGCAATGGGAGTCGTGCCTCATTGATTTGGATGACGTTATCGTCTTTGGTAAAACTTTTGATGAACATCTCCAGAGGTTGCGGGCGGTTTTCCTAAAGATGCGGGCTGCTAATTTGAAATTCAAGCCCCAAAAATGCCATTTGTTGCGTGATTCGGTGCGTTATTTGGGGCACATCGTGGGACGCTCAGGTATTGCTACCGATCCCGCCAAAACGCAGTGTGTCAGCTCCTGGCCGACTCCCACCTCGGTGGGAGAGGTCAGGAGTTTCATTGGGTTCGCGTCGTATTATCGACGGTTTGTTGCTGATTTTGCAACAATTGCTAAACCCCTGCACGCTTTAACATCTAAAGGGGTTCGGTTCCACTGGGGCCAAGAGGAGGAGGCTGCGTTCCGCTCCCTTCGGGACGCCCTGGTGAAAGCCCCTCCCTTGATTTACCCTGATTTTTCGAAGCCCTTTTTGCTCGACACCGATGCGAGCAACACGGGTATTGGGGGTGTGCTTTCCCAGGTGGTTGATGGCGTTGAACGGGTGGTCGCGTACGGTAGTCGGGTGTTGTCTCCTGCGGAGCAGAGATATTGTGTCACCCGTAGAGAACTGTTGGCAATTGTTTTTTTCATCCAACAGTATCGCCCATATCTGTACGGTCGGCATTTCACCGTCCGCACAGATCATGCGGCACTACAGTATGCCCTGCGAGTTCAACAACCATCGGGACAGTTGTCTCGATGGTTGGAGGTTCTCCAGGATTTTGATTTTGAGACCACTTACCGTAAGGGCGTTCGCCATACCAACGCGGACGCTCTGTCACGCATGCCAACCACCTCGGAATGTGCATGCCTCCTGGGGTCGGGACGTTGCAGACCTTCAGGGGACGCATCGGTTCCGATCCTGGCAGCCACCGACGACGACGAACCACTGCCTGATAATTCGATCGAACAACAGGGAAGGGATTCCCTGTTGGGGTTGCCCGTCACTGAGTGGGGGCGCCTCCAAATGGAGGATACCTCCCTCCTCGGGTGGCGTCGTCGCGTCGGGGGTGCTGGGCGGGTGAAAGGTGATTCGGGTGCATGGGAAATGGTACAGGGTCTGCTCATGCATTGGGACGGCAAATCACAGCGACATCGCCTGGTCGTCCCTTCTGAGTTGCGAGGCAAAGTGGTGTGGGCCGCGCATGAGCGCCTGTTACATCTGGGGACTCTAAAGACCCTTGCACTGATACAACTAGATTTTTTTTGGCCTGGTATGACAAAGGATGTTGGGGATCTTTTGAGTTCATGCCCGCGGTGTGCGCAACGGAAACCGCCGGCACGGGAGTCTAACCCGCCTTTGCAATCAATCAAGGTGTCCAGAATAAATGAGCTTGTCGCGCTGGACATCTTGGGCCCATTTCCCGCCACCCCCAGGGGCAATAGGTATTTGCTGACAGGAGTCGAGTATTTTACGCGCTGGCCCATGGCCTGGCCCCTTGCCAACCAGTCGGCAGCAGCCATCGTGGACGCCTTTGTTCAGGGATACGTCCTGGACAAAGGTGCTCCGGAACGGCTGCTGACCGACCAGGGTAAAAATTTTTCCAGCAAATTACTTAAACAAGTCTGTGACCTCTTAGGCACAAAGAAAATTCGGACCTCCCCGTATCACCCACAGACTGACGGAATGGTCGAGCGCCTGCATCGCACCATTTCGTCAATGATGGCACAGCAGGTCTCAGATTCACAGACTGATTGGGACCTGCATATTCAAGGGGTCTTGGCGGCATACCGGATGGCACCCCATGCAGCTACGGGATTTTCCCCCTTTTACCTTATGTACGGTCGCGAACCCGACCCGCCTGTTCGCGCCCAGCTGCAGATCCCCGACCCGCAAGGAAAAACTAAATTGGCTGACCACGTCAAATTTAATCTGGCTAAATTAACTGAGGCGCGGGATGCTGCGAGGTTGAACTCGGACCGCCGTCAAAAGGCGAACGAGCGCCTCAGGCTGGGTCGGGCGCATGTAATACAGTGGAAACCGGGGGACAGGGCATGGTTGCACTGTCCCCAAGTGCCCCTGGCTACCTCCCCTAAGCTGGCGCGGCCGTGGCGGGGCCCTGTGGAAGTGGTCGAGGTCTTGCGACCACAGTGCGTGCGCATTCGATGGGGCAAGCGGCGATGGTTCGTGCACCCCTCTCGGTTGAAACCCTTCGTCGCGGTACACAAACCCACTTCACGCATGCGTGGCCAGACGTGTGGGGGGTCGACCGACTCACTAGGTCCGTCTCCACCGCGCTCACCTAATGCCTTGCCGGCCGTGCCACCTCCAGGTGCATCGAGACTGACGGGCTCACGCCCGACCACCCCTTCTGGGGATACCAACAGTCACGCGGCATCAGAGGAGGTCTCACTCCGGGACGGACGATTACCACCTGACGGTCCGCCACCCGGGGTTTCCCCGTGTGAGGGGCCCGCCGCAAGGACACGCGCAAAAATGCGCAGACTGTTGTGAAACCGCAAGATGTGTATATATGTTGTGTTCATTGTGTGTTGTGTGGGGGGGTGTGTTCCCTGCCCATTGAATTTACATACGTTGTGCTCACCTGCTGTTGTATGTATGGTGGCTTCGCTGCAAATTGTATATAGCTTGTTCTTACGGAATTCGTATTTATTCAAGGGGGGGTGCGTCGGGTTGTTTTTTTTTCCTTCTTGCTGTTGCATTTTTTTTGTGTTCTTGTTACCGTTCTTGTTATTGTTGGTAATTAGTGAGGCACACGCGCGGTTACGGTAAAAATTCATTTTTATTGTCATTCTGTATGTTGGCAGCCGGGACGGCTGCGAGCTATGTAGGGGGGAGTGATGTAGGGTTGTTAGAGAGAGGGCCGTTATGTATGGCAGTCTATGGGAAAGAAACACAGTGGGCGGGGCTACGTGTGTGCACAGGGAGGTGCCCTCTGCGACGTCCGAGCCAGACACCCTGGGGGGGGCTGGTTTGGCGTTATGATCCCCCGGGGCCCCACCCCTCAGGGAGGGTTGGGTATAAAAGGGGACGTTATATGGGCTCGGGAGTTAGTTATGTTATAGTTAACTAAGAAGACGGAAGACGTCTTAGATAGAGCCCTGGACTCCCTCGTTCGATGTCCTTGTCAGGGCCGAACAGGATCGAGCCAGCGGCGTGGTCCCGAAAGCCAGAGCCGGTGCTCTTCTAAGAGCTGGTCTGGGACTCCGGGTACCGGCCCGACTTACCAGTGTCGGGCCAAGTAGCCTCCCCTAGCCCAGTAGTGGAGGACTGTGAGGTAGGCTAGGACTTAGCCAGGAAGTGTATCCTTGAGCTAGTCGGGTGAGGGGGCCGATACCCCCTCCAGTACTGTATGTCACATACGAGTTGTGTTGAATAAATATCCGTGTGCCTCCACCTCGGCGTCAAGTGTCTTCACCGGTACTTCACATGCTTAAGGATTACAATAGCCATCAGTTAAACTGTGTGGTTGCAATATTGGAAATATATTCCTTACATAATGAAGTTATTATTTTAATTAAATGTTCGAGTGATATTCAACAGCACATCACAGAAGCATTTAAGACAATCACATCTGAGGTGCTAGCTGGCGAGACCTCACACCTGTGATGTCTTATCGGCGAAAGTGCCCACCCCCGCCCCCTCTGAAAATTAGTGAAGAACACTGGATTACAGTAAGAAATAAGTTCTTTGTGCAGTTACTTTGTCATGTGAGGTTCGATGTCTACGTGTCTTGCAGATTAACAAAGTTTATTCAGAAAGCTCCATGAAGGACGACTACGCCGGCTGTCGCGTGGTGGCGTTTGAGTGAGTGACTGCCATCCGTCCTCCTTTTCCCGTGATTACCCTTCCGCACCTCCGATTAGCACGGGTGGTTACGTAAGATGCGATAGAAGTTCAACACACACACATCCGTACATTTGAGGTAGCTTTCCTGGAAAATATTTTAGCCTTTCCAGGGAAAAAAATCATCTTGATTATTGTTTTGTAAATTTTCATAAATTATACACCATTCAAGACAATGTACTTCCACCTCGTTCTCCCCTCTTGTGGTATACTGCAGTGAGATATTCTTATTTTCGTGATGCGTCCCGGTTTTTTTTGTATTGCATCTCGGAGGTGGCAACGCCGATTGAGCAAGAATGCGTGCGTTCAGGCAGGGCAGCGTGTGGGTACTGCTGGGGCTCAAGTTCACGCTGGCCACGTCCGAGGGGCTCGTGGGGACCGCTCAAGGGACCCTGCTGGCAGCCATCAGCCCCAGCACGCCGGTGTCCAACGTGGGCTTCCTGCCGCCCTTCGAAGTGGACATCGCCAGCGTGCAAGTGTACGGTGCGTTCGACGGCTCGCCGTGGGTCCGCGTGCATGATGTCACCCACGGCAAACAGCTCCTCAAGCTCCGATGTGTTACCTCTAACCACGCTCGCGAGAGCAATGTGAAGTCGAGCTGACATTGTGACCGATGGGGTTCATGTCACCGAACCTGGCCACCCGGCTCTTTATATGCGTCATAAAGTCGACACCGGGCCTTCAAGGAATACTCTTTGGATTGCGGGACCCCCCCCCCCCCCTTCCATTGAGTAAAACTGTGAAAGTGACAGTCATACCACAACTAACAGTCGTTGGACCCTGGGTAATCAAAGCGGAAGCACAGCCACTGCAAGAGGCAGTATATTTTTACCAGGAGATGAACTACACCTGAGAGGCAAATGCCACCATCCACTAAAACCACCGCACTGTGATGTAAATCACCGGGCAGATTAATATTCAGTAGTATGCCCTACCGACAGCTGAATTACATTTGCTGAGAGGCAGCAGCTTCTAAATCAGATACCATTTGGGCCACTGTGATGTCACATTCGATGGGGTCCTCTGATTTTGAGCTACAGCAGGTATCTTTGGTGGTTTCACACTGTCTGTGGTGTAAATGTCGTACCGTTCAATGACCTCTTGTAGTTAAAGTTGGCATTGGCCCTGGTGCAATGAACGAAAAGTGGCCCCTGTCCAATTTCCCCCATCTTTGTGGCTTATTGCCTAGGCCCCTCAGGCCTGTGGGCCCCGGTGCAGTTGCACCGCCTGTACACTCAAGAGCTACGCCTCTGCTTAGAGTGGCTAGCAATTTAGGATGTGTATTTTTGTGTACTAAACAATACAGTGAACTTAGTAGTTGAGGAGTTTCCATCTGTCCAGATGTTAACGTGTCCTGCTCTTGCTAAAATTTCCTCCCCTTTACCAAAACAAACAATAACAAAAACCTAATCTTTCCTCATGATCGAATAAAGCTCGAGTCTTTCCTTTTGAATGTTATGGCACCTTCAGATGGCATACGTATCGGGACAGTGGTGGTACACGCCTGTAACCCAGCACCATGTAGTCGCGGGGTCGGTGGATCACACAAATGTTGCGAAAACTCCCTTGCCATGGGTGCCGAGGGGTTTCACACCCTGGCTCGCCAGGAGAAGGCAGTACAGCCAAGTATGGAGTGAGGACTAATCGTCATCTGTGTCCATCTTACGGGAGGAGAGTGTTGCCCCTTCGTGTGTCTGGATTTTCTCCGGGTGCTCCGGTTTCCTCCCACGTGTATGAAGACTCACTAATTGGCTGAAAACATCTCAATTTAATGTAAAAAAACAATGTAGAATCCTCCTGAATGAAAGTCATATGACTCAGTGTGGCTCTCCTGGATACAAAATAATGGTGCACTAATTTTAAATAAAAATTGCAATTTATTTTGAACATGTTTTCTTCCCTGATATAGACATTCACTCAGTAAGCCAAGCTAATATACCCCTGTAATCATTATATCAAATATCTGATATAATTAAATTTGACCTTTAAAACTGTACATATTGGACGCAATTCATACCTTGTTCTTTTGAATCCCAGTAATATCCATCACAAAAATATTGGTTGACAACTTAAGGAAGAAATCTGACAGTAACCTTCGTAAACACACAGGTGACAAGCCGAGCACACCAACCTCCAAACCCACTCCAGCTCCAAACAATACCAGCGCACCGACCTCCAAACCCACTCCAGCTCCAAACAAGACCAGCGCACCAACCTCCAAACCCACTCCAGCTCCAAACAAGACCAGCGCACCAACCTTCAAACCCACTCCAGCTCCAAACAAGACCAGCGCACCAACCTCCAAACCCACTCCAGCTCCAAACAACACCAGCACACCGACCTTCAAACCCACTCCAGCTCCAAACAACACCAGCACACCGACCTTCAAACCCACTCCAGCTCCAAACAATACCAGCGCACCGACCTTCATACCCACTCCAGCTCCAAACAATACCAGCACACCGACCTTCAAACCCACTCCAGCTCCAAATACCAGCGCACCGACCTTCATACCCACTCCAGCTCCAAACAATACCAGCACATCGACCTTCAAACCCACTCCAGCTCCAAACAACACCAGCACACCGACCTTCAAACCCACTCCAGCTCCAAACAAGACCAGCACACCGACCTTCAAACCCACTCCAGCTTCAAACAATGCCAGCACAGCGACCTTAAAGTCTACTTTGGTCCCCGTCACGTCAAAAGGTACGACCGCATTATATTGTATGCACTGCACCATCTTGTTGTTCGGTTATCGACTGGCATTTTAGGTAGTTGTAGGCACTGCCATTTTCAACTACGTCATCTTGGATTTAAACAGTAGCAGTGCCGGATTAAGCTAAGGCGGGGCCTGTATCATACGTTACAACGGGGCCCTAAATAAAAATTAACACACGTAAATATTAAACACAAATGTTTTACTTGCATAGTAAATTGTATTTTTTGATTTGCTATTACAGCCAGATAATACGACAAATCGCTAATCTTAATCACACAGTCGTTCATAAAAGTTAACGGCAGTATAGTACTATAGTAATAGAGCAAGTGCATAATCACTGAACCGGAATTGATAGCTTGAAAGCATTTAGCGCGGAGCCCTTGAAAGTGTGGGGCCCGTTGCTACCAGGAGAATCCGGCACTGAACAGTAGCAGTATAAGAGTATCCACACCAATCCACATTTCATTGCTACCAATCGTCTTGTTCTTCTTCCTCCGCACTTCCAATTAGCGCGGTTGGTTACTTACAGTGCGAAAGAAGTTAAACATCCATAAAAATCTGAATTTTACCGAAAATTACTGACAAATGTGGTCAAACGAACAGCGATGGTCGACAGCCATGAGGCCAGGGGTGTAGGAATCCGATGGGTTTATAGTCTGAGACTGAGAGGCCCCGTCTTCACCCCGGAGGAGCTGTTGTTTACACTCCACGATGTTGACATGGCCAAGCGGTAACACGTTTGCTGCTTTCTGCCGAGGTTTGCTGTTCTAATTCAGCAGCCGCTTGTGCTGTTGTCCCCGCACATTTTCGAAAGAGTCGGCCAGGCTTGCCAGTGTCAGGGTCCAAATTTTCCAAATTTGAAAATGACTCACAAACCACCTAAATGGGTACAGCCACATGTAAATATCCTCCTCAACTGTGCTCGTCTGTGAAGCATCACGCCCGAGTGACAGCCTTGTGCCACAGCACGAACATGGAGAACACCGAACGTAACAATTTTTGTATTTGAATTGCAGAGTCCTGCGGCTCTGTCGAACTCTGGGAACCCAACACGACGTTCTCGTCTCCCAACTACCCCAACAACTACAGCGTCAACACCCTGTGTGAGTGACCTGGACGAATGAGTGCCCTGTGTGAGTGACGATTGCTGTGTGAGTGCTTGTGTAGAGGAGTAGTTTGGGGACGTGACGTCATACGCGCTGTGCGGTGCGATCACATCATGTCACCTCGGGGTACTTAAGGGGGGCCCCGTGACAAAAGCGGGGTCGTTGTGGGAGCCCGGGATGGAGAGCGGTTGAAGAGACAGTCAGGAGTAGAGCTCTGGGAGTCTGGAGAGAAGCCGGCGGTAGTTGTGGAAGATGCTGTTCTCCTCGGTCGGTCGGTGTTGGCTGAACCCCCGATCCGACTCGAGAGAGAGCGCCCAAGAGATAGCCGAGCTAGGGACAGACAGAGCCGAGGGACAACGTGAAGGACCAAGTGTAGGGCACCTACCTCTGGTGATAATTTTCACCAGTCACAAACCCTTGTTAATAAACCGGCTCAAGCCCTGACATGAATACCTGTCTCAACGTCGTCATTTAGCACACAACACTTGTATGAGTGCCCTGCATGAGGCCACGTCTCCGCCCCATAAAGACAGGGAACAGACATCAACAGGAAACACGTATAGACAATAGACAGATATAAAAACTAAAATTATAAAAATAAACTATAAACTATTTTTTATATTACCAGGTAAGGCCCATTGAGCTCTATAGCTCTTTTTCAGAAGCGACCTGGCCACAAATGATAACTCAACGAAGTGGCTTATGTGGAAATGTATTGCCGCCAAATACTCTAAAAGCATGTTTCTAAATGTGGAGGGGAAAAAACGGAGGACCCGGAGAAAAATCCATGCGACTACAGGGATATTGTGAAAACTACAAATATACAGGCGTCAGGTTCGGGATCGAACCTATAACCTTTTGTATAACAGGCGAGGTAGTTAACATCTCGGCACCGTGGTGCCCTAAAGATTGGAGACAAAATAAAGGCAGCAGACAGGAGACAGACGTGAAGACGGGAGATATCATAAACCTGTACACAAGATGGTCGTCACTACATTGCGCGTGTTCAGATGCGCTTCTGCGGCCGTCTGGAACGCTCTTCCTTCCTATATGAGAAAGCCACTGGAGCTGTGTACTTTTAAATAATCTAGATTCAAAACTCATTTCTTTAGAACTGCTTTTTGTGTTTAGTTTGTTTTCTTTTCCCTGCACCTCCGATTAGCACGGTTGGATATGTACGGAGTGAAAGAAGTTCAACATACATGCTTATGTGTCCCGCAGGCTTCTGGTTCCTGCGGGCACAGGAGGGCGACAATGTGCAGCTGCACTTCCAGGACTTCGACACGGAGACTGACAATGACATGGTGATGGTCTATGACGGCAACAGCACCAGCGCGATGCTCATCGGTAAACTCCGGGAGGACGTGATGGGGTCGGTGGGCTTGCTGGGATCCAGCCAGAGCCAGTCGCCAGACGATGACAATCGCTATAAGCCGAGGGTAGGACCCAAATAGTATTCAGTGTCCGGGGTAAATGACCGAGATAGAGTGCATCTACACTAGATTTGAAGCTTTCGTGAATGCAAGGATTTATGCTCTTAGGTTTTTTTCGGTAAAGTCACGTAGGTAAAAATAAATAATAAAAATAAATAATAGAAAAACGAATAGAACAGAAGGAGGTATTATTTTTTACATTATTTTTATTATTTCTTTGTATTTTTTATTTTACCTACGTGACTTTACCGAAAAAAAACCTAAGAGTATACATCTACACTGGTGTGAGTGTATGATGTCGAGTGTGACAGTGTTTTAATAAACGGCAACAGCTCTTATAGTATTCGTCTCTGCGTGGTTCTACTGCACTACACTTGTATGGGGAGCAGTAGTGTAGCGGTGCTACGAACCCTGCGGCCCGAGTTCGATTCCCGCTTACAGCCAACACCAGTGACGATTCTCTGAACCGGTCGTGGGCCTGCCCTAGGACGACTCAGTCTCAAATAAGTACCTAGTGCGGTGTGTAAATATCACCATGCATGGTACTTGCCACCCGCCCCCTCGTGTGCCGTGCCGGCCTTCATAGGTGCTCGCGAACAGCACTTGCCTCAATAGTCTGTCAAGGCTTTACGGGGGATATTTGTCTTGGTATGTGTGCGTGCATCTGTCCGTGCAGGGATGTTTTCAGGCAGTGGACCTGGACGCGATCTGTTCTCGACGGGCAGCGTGATGACGGTGCGCTTCAGAAGTGACTTCGTCACTAACTGCAAGGGCTTCCTTGCAAACTTCACCACCGGCTTCCGACTCGGCATGCCCCGTACGCACCTCCACCAGCCCCTGCACCCAACGACACTTGAGTGTTTTTTGCTTCCCCGCCAAGCTCGGCGGCTGTGAACACTCTAGATGAAAGTAACCATAACCTCAAAAGACCACACCTCGTGACGGCGAGTGGAGGATGCGGGGGATGGGGATGAGGGCAAGGAGTTTTGAGGACAGGGGATAATAACCAACCAATCGCTAGCCCTTCTAACTCTAACTAACTACCCAACCCTTGTGTTATCCTTCCCCCGCACCTTCGATGAGCACGGTTGGCTACGTACGGTGCGAAAAATGTTAAACACACCTTTTCTAACAGTAGTGGCGGTGCTAACAGTGGTTGATGGTGGTGGTACTAATAGTGGTGATGCTGCTAACAGAGGTGGTGGTGCTAACAGGGGTAGTGGTGGTAATAGTGGTGGTGGTCGTGGTGCTAACAGGGGTGGTGGAGGTGGTACTAACAGTGGTGGTGGTAATAGTCGTGGTGCTAACAGTGGTGCGGTAACATTGGTGATGGTGCTGACAGTGGTGGTGGTAACATTGGTGATGGTGCTGACAGGGGTGGTGGTAACATTGGTGGTTGTTGCTAACAGTGGTGGTGATGGTGGTGCTAACAGTGGTGGTGCTAACAGTGGTGATGCTGCTAACAGTGGCTGTGGCCGTGTTTTCCCAGCGCTCTGCGGGAGTGACGAGTTCCAGTGCGACAACTACCAGTGCGTGCCGAGCTCGGCGGTGTGCGACGGACGGCCCGACTGCACGGACACGTCCGACGAGAAGCGCTGTGGTGAGCGCCGCTGTCCCACTTACTGCGTGGCCACCAGCCTTGGCGCAGGCCCTCGGGAATCTGCAACAAACGCTGGAAGAGAGCGCCAACACATTTCTGACATCTATTGCCAGTCTACCTGCGTCAGAGGTCCCATTGCCTCGGAGCAAGGCTTAGCTGGTGCTGAGCTGGCTGTCCGTGGTGCTAGTTGTTGTTGGCACTGGGGCACCGTTAGCTTTGTCCATGGTTGTGCTGCAGTGTTGCTCTCTCTCTTCACTCTCACGTATATATATCAGCTCACTACCTTCACCCCACCCTCTTTCTACCCTAACTTAGTTTTTGTTTCCCCATTTTTCTAAAGCGTCTTGAGATGCGATTGCGTTTAGACCCGATATGACTTTAAATGGTTGCCGATGCTTTGTTTGGGTTGATGGTGGTGTGTGACGAGCTTTGTGCCAATTTGGTTAAACAACTCGGCCGAATCTTTGCCGTGACAAGGCTAGGGACGCGTGTTAACAGATACATGAATTACAACGTGACCGTCACTCTCGTTAATGTGACGTCACGTTCGCTAGGTTTCCACGTGGCCCTCAATGTGGCCTGTGCTCGAAAAAGGCTGCACACCCCTGGCCCGAGTGAAGTGTTCTCATTGCAAGGCCCATGGGCCACTGACGGCCCCCTGGTGGCCTTTAGTGCGGCCCCTGACATGCGGCCCCCCCGACAATATGCAAATATAAAAATACCCCCCCATCATCATCGTGCTGCTGTCAAACCCCCAATGAATTTCGATTTAAAGCTTTCGTGACTGTAGGGATTCATCTTCTTGGTTCTTTCGGTAAAGTCACGTAGAATGGAAATAATAAAATAATACAAATTAAACAGAATAAAATACAATTCTCACTATTTTTATGTTTTATTATGTTTTATTTTTATCATTTTATTATTTCCCTTCTACGTGACTTTACCGAAAGAACCAAGAAGATAAACCCCCAATGGTTTCAAATGTAACCTCACACTGATGATTTCTTATCGGCAAAAGTGCCCACCCCCCACCTCTTAAAATTAGTGAAGAACACTGCCCGAGTGCCATCATGCACCCCGCTGGCAGCAGCACGTGCCAGCCGCGATCCTCCACGCGTCGTCCCCGTCGAGTGACGGCGAGAGCCTAACGCGCGCGTGTCCCCTTGCAGCGCGGCTGGTGAACGGGACGGTGGTGGCGAGCGGCGTGGTGCAGCTCTTCGTACACGGGCGGTGGCGCGGCCTGTGCGCCAACGACAGCTGGGAGGAGCTGGCCAGAAACATCTGTCTCTCCACGGGATACCCGTGAGGGCTTACATTTCACAAGTCAAATAAAAAAAATTTAATCCGCTTTGAATCTCCACATATTAAAAAAAATGCCGTTTTAGTCGTCGGACCGTTAGATTCCTAGACGGATAATCGCGAGCAAGACGTCAACTGTTTGTTTAACAAGCGTGACTCAGCCGAGGGTCAGAGCTGGTCTGTAGGTTTGCTCTATGGAACACGCCGCTGGATAGTATTGGTCTACAATTGCAATAGGCCAATGACTACAACATATTGTATTTATATATGGAGACAGAGCGAAGGTCTGTTTATATTCATTGTCACCCAGAGTTGCTGAGCGTTCTCGATGTGTTGCCGTTCCCGCAGGGGATTGAACGGCAGTGCGTTGGTGGCCGCCGCGGGCTATGGCCCCTACGTCTCCCTCTTCGTCAACAGCAGCAGCAGCAGCGTGGGTGCAGTGATCAGGTCTGCCGTGCCGAACCCGCTACCTCCCACCTGGCAGGGGGGCATAGAGCCCATTGCCAGTCTCATCATACGTGGTGACACTCACACACAAAATCTGTGTGAGCATGTGCGAGCTGGCAGTACCGTATACATTTCATCATCATCATCATCAGCCATGGTCGATTCACTGCTGAATGAAGGACGTCCCGAAGCGCCGCCATCTCTCACTATCCTCTCGGACACGTTCCATTCCTTGGCTGGCACTCCGTTATTACTCTTGACCCATAGGCTAGCGTCCCTTCTAGCGGTGTCCTGCCCAAACGCACCTTTCTTCACTGTATATATTATCACTGAATGTATGGGCTGAGTTAATCATTACCCTCACAAAACTCAGAATAATCATCGTCGTCATCATGCATAGCCATAAGCGCAAAAAAACAGCATTCCTGCCGAGATATTCCTGGAACATCCTGCCCCCATATCCTTACCGCCCATGAGCCATCCCCGCAGACTCTGGGCAGGGTGCCCAAGTCTGGTGGGTCTGCCAAGACTCTTTGGCGGTTACTGAAAAATTATACTTTGACCAAACACCGTCGTTTTCCTTTCTGCCGGCAGTGAGAGCTGTGACGCCGGCCGTGTGCTGTACGTGAACTGCATCCCTAAAGGTCAGCGGAGGTTGCCGTGTTGCTCGCGAATGCACGCATGCGCCACTATGCCACCTCCTCCCCCACGTTCATGAGTGCGAGTCAACCATACGTTTCGCACTCACGACCACCTTTCAAGGTGCAGTACGGAATACAGTGGGGGCACGGGCATCGTGGGGATATGGAGGTGTATTTTATGTACTTAATGAAGAGTAAAAGATAGTCATACGCAGAGGAGAAGGTCTTGAGCCTGGACTTGAACAGGTGCAGGGAAGTCGACAGCACGGATGGCTGGCGGAAGGGAGTTCCAGACCGTATTGGCAGCAGATGAGAAACAGTGACCTCCCACTGAGCAAAGGTTGACTTGAGGCTTCGAGAGAAAGCCTCGGTTGCTTTAGCGGAGAGTGCGTGGAGGGGAGCAGAATGAGATGCGACGGGAGGGGCAGGCAGGGGCGAGTCATTAGCGGATCTTAAAGATGGTGAGGATGATCTTGAAATTGATCTGGGATTGGATTGTGAGCCAGTGGAATGGAGCATGCACGCTTGTAGTACACTTTCACCCGGCTGTGCGTTGGCGTACGAGCGATCACATTCTCGTGTCACAGCGCTGCCACCCATGAGTTCGTGTAAAGGGTTCCACATCACTCACGTAACGGTGCGACCCTCACTGTGCTGGCGTGACAATGATGTAAGTGTCGCACTCTCCTCGAGCGTACGCATGTGCGTTCTTTAGTGTCCCGTGTGGGGAGGCGGTAGTGCAGTGGTTCTGGCAGTGCACTGCGCTACGAACCCGGCAGTCCACGTTCGATTTCCGCCCTCGGCTAAGATCATTGGCGATGACCTGAACCGGTCCCAGGCCTCCCCTAAGTCGACTGCGGTGTGTAAGTGACGGCAGCCGGGCCATGGTGCTGGCCGCGCCAACACCCTCGTGTGCCGTGTCGGCCTCGAAAGGTTGCTCGCAAACAGCATTTGCTCCAATTGCAGCCCGTGTCGGCTACACGGGGGGATATTTGTCTGCGTGTGTCGAGTTCGCACTGCGCTACTAACCAGGTGACCCGAGTTCGAATCCCGCTCACGGCCAACACCAGTGACGGTTATCTGAACCGGTCCTGGGGCCTCCCCTTGTGTGCCGTGGCGGCCCTAATAGGTTGCTACTCGCTCACGTCATTTGCCCCAACAGTCTGTTGAAAGGCTTTTTTGTCCCGTGGTTTTAGCGTGCGGGAGGAGGCGGCGGCTCGTGCCGGAGAGCCGCGTGGTGCAGGGGAGCGACGCGGCGCCTGGCGCGTGGCCGTGGATGGTGGACCTGCGCTCCAAGGGGCAGCATCTGTGCGGGGCATCGCTGCTGTCCAGAGATTGGCTCCTCACCGCCGCACACTGCGTCAGGGGGTGCGTCCAGAGCCGGCCCAGCCACTAAGCGACCCTTGCAATTGCAAAGGGCCCCGTAGCCAGCAGAGGGCCCCCTAGAGTCACTGCTAGCGAGTGGGTGAAAAAAATCATACATCAAAGGGGCCTCGAACCAAATTTTGCTTAGGGCCCCCAAAGGTCTAGGGCCGGTTCTGGGTGCGTCTCAGGGGGGGAGGGAGGGGGCGACAGCTGGCCCACGCTGCCCAGAGAGCCCCCGGCTGTCCACGCTGCCCTCTGAACATCTCGCTTATCTTCCCTCGCTGTCACTGCGGCACCAGCCAACGATTGGTTGGGGCTCTGCAAAGAGACTTTGATTAATTATGTAACCTACTGGTGAGGTTTACAACCCTTACTGCATGGATGAAGGCCTCCTGTGTGTGTGTGTTATATGTAGGGTGTTGTGTGCTGCTCATTATACTTTGTGAGTTATGTGCCGTGTTGTATTTGTGTGCGTAGTGTTCTATGTGTTGTATGCTGTGTAGCGATTGTATTGTGTCATGTCCTGTGGTGTATGCTGTGTTGTATAGTGGGGAGCGGTAATGGAGTGATTTATCACACTTCGCTACAAAAAAACACGGTCCCCTAAGTTCGATTCCCGCTCACTACCAATAACGGTGCATAATTTAACTGGTCCTGGGTCTCCCCTAGGTCGACTCAGCCTTAAATAAGTACCTGGATGGTACGGTGTATAAAACAACAGCACTGGGGAGACAAAGGCTGCCCGTCGTGGTGTTGGCCACCCATCGTGGCCAACCCAGCGTGTGCCGTGCCAGCCTTCAGCTAACAGCACTTGCCCCAACAATCTCTTAAGGCTATACGGGGTACCTTTGTCTGTGTGTTGTGTGCTGTGCTGTGTAGGGAGCGTTAGGCGACCCAAGTTCGATTCCCGCTCACAGCCAACACCAGTGACAACGATTATCTGAACAGGTCCTGGGCCTCCCCTAGTTCGACTCAGCCTCAAAAATGAGAACCTGGTGCGGTGCGTAAACATCGTCACTGGGGAGACAAGGCAGTCGGGCGTGGTGCTGGCCACCCATCCCCTCGTGTACCGTGCCGGCCTTCAGAGGTGCTGCTCGATAACAGCACTTACCCCAACAGTCCATCAAGGCTATACGGGGGGAATCTTTGTCTTTGCTGTGTGCTCGTGGCAGGCACGAGGCGGTGGACTTGACGGCTGCATTCGGCCTGCGCTCCCAGCTCAACTTCTCGTCCAGTGGGGTGGAGCAGCGGCTCGTGGCCCAGGTTCACGGGCACCGCGACTACAACCACTACAGCAAAGACAACGACATTGCCCTCCTACGCCTCGCCTCGCCGGTCAACTAGACTGGTCAGTTGCCCCAGCAAACATAGAACGTCGACTATCCCCAACTTTGGTCCAAGGGTTACCCATACCATGTCAAGCCATACGGTTTTACGCTGCATTATTGTACAGGGAAATTGAGTGTTTCAGGTCCATACTGCATACGGCCGTTTTAATAGGGCAAAATACATGTTTTTGTCTATTTGTTTGTGTTTCTTCCTTGTGATGGGACTTGGTAGGATGAACGTTAAGATTTATAAGGGCACTGGGTGACCAATAGGGTCTGAACTGGTCTCTAATAAGTTAGGCACTGATAAGGGGTTGACAGGTATTGGTTCCTGACCACATGCCAACGTTATGTATTTATGTTACTTTTCGTTGAACTTCTCTCACACCGTACGTAGCCAACCTTGCTAATTGGAGGTGTGGGGTAAGAAACGTTTTTGTTAACTGCGTTCGTCCTGTAACAGGCTGGCTCGGGCGGCCCGTAAAGCTCGTATTATAGCAATGCACTCACTAAGGAGGATGAATCTTGTGTGGGCCGAAGGGGAATTTGTTGGTGTTAGGCCCAACCCCAGCGATAGCACGTTTGGCTATGTATGATGCAAAAGAAGTTCAGCACACATACCCTTGCGCCGGCCTTGTCCGAAAGCCTCGAGGATGCCCTTGTTTCCGTGTCCCCAGATGAAATCCAGCCGGTGTGCTTGCCCGAAGGAAGAGAGCAGTTTTTTCCAGGGACGCTCTGTTACGTCGCTGGGTGGGGACTCATCAATAACGCAGGTGCGTCGCGTGAAACAGCAGGACCGGAGGCTGCTGGCCGGTGGAACGTGGCTTTGTAGAGAAGGAAAGTTATAAAGAAATTGACAGTGATGGCTAGAAATGTGCATCACGATACACTGATTAAAATCCATTCGCTCACGATATATATGTAGTGACATAGAATGGATCACTACGGCGCGTAGCGCTGGGTACAATAGAATAAGGAAATATGGGTGTAGCAGCCAGCACAGCATGTAATACCACTAAGTGGGTCGCTAGGGGGCGTGGTGCTGGCTGCTGGCGGAGAGGGGCATGTGGGGACACGGCACCCCGGCCGGCTGACGAAGCACGTAATGGGGGTTAAGGATGTAGGGCAAAGGTCACCAAGGGGACACGGGGAGCATGGCCCAGGACCTTCTGGAGGGTTCCAGGAAGGGGCGTGATTAAGGGCGGAGCCGGGCAGGTGGCACGTGGAGGTCGTCCCAGGACCTCCTGGAAGGTTCTAGAAGGGGGTGTGGCCGAGGGCGGAGCCAGGCCACGATGAAGGGCATAAAAGGGAAGCCCCGAGGCTGAATCAGGGCTGTCTACAGGTGGAATGGAACCCGAGGTGCTACATTTTCGTCTTTGTCTCCGTCTCCGGCGTCGTGGGTCAGCCAGCATGTTGGCTGCTCTGACCCGTAATTAGTTATCCCGTGTGTGAACAGTGTGTAAAATATATATTCATCTTCTTGGTTCTTTCGGTAAAGTCACGTAGAAGGGAAGTAATAAAATAATAAAAAAATAAAACATAATAAAATTATTCTCACGACGTTTCGGCCACAACGCAAGCAGCCGTCCTCAGGTGAAAACCAGGTCCGTCCAGGCGACAGAGTCTGAATGAAACAGCACACGAGCTTGGAGCATATATATATAAGCTGGGCGCCTTGACAAAGGAATTTGCATATCAAGAGGAATTTAGCATATTTATGGGAAATGCAGGAATGTGATTAGTACTACATATGCATGTGCATTATGCAGGATTAACAGCAAATATATAGCAGTGTGATACACATTAGGGTGGGTAGAATAATACATAGTGTTATATTAAAATGGATAAGGCAGCAACTGCAACAGCAGCAGCAACTGCAGCAGCAGCAACTGCAGCAGCAGCAGCAACTGCAGCAGCAGCAGCAACTGCAGCTCTCTTTGATGCTGTTAATCCTGCATAATGCACATGCAGATGTAGTACTAATCACATTCCTGCATTTCCCATAAATATGCTAAATTCCTCTTGATATGCAAATTCCTTTGTCAAGGCGCCCAGCTTATATATATGCTCCAAGCTCGTGTGCTGTTTCATCCAGACTCTGGTCGCCTCGACGGACCTGGTTTTCACCTGAGGACGGCTGCTTGCGTTGTGGCCGAAACGTCGTGAGAATAATTTTATTATGTTTTATTATTTATTATTTTATTACTTCCCTTCTACGTGACTTTACCGAAAGAACCAAGAAGATGAATCCCTGCAGTCACGAAAGCTTTACATCGAAATTTAAGATATATATTGTAGAATAAACGTTGCTGCCTCCTAAAATAGTGTCTCAGAAGTGACTCACTACACATACATTGAGCTGTGCACGTAAGAATAATTTTCAATGTATGCAACCTATACATTTATGTATTATCTATGTTCGAACTTCTTTCATAACGTACATAGCGAACCATTTTAATCTTACCAAGGCCCCCAATTTGTGACAGTTAATAGAAATGCCAGAGTGGGTTTGGGAGTGGGGGGACGGAGTGAATAGGGAATCGCTACATGCTGAGTGATGCGTGAGGATTGCCACCTGTCCTGGTTTTCCCAGGATCGTACTATTTTCGAGGTAGCTGTCCTGGGGAAACCTGTAAGTCTTAAAAGTCCCAATTTTTGTTAGCGGTACAATATTAATAATAACATCAATAATGCACCACTAAAGGCAATGCATGAATGTGTAGTTCTCTCCTCTTCTGGTATTGTGAGATATTCTTCTTTCCATTATCTAATATGATTTATATATATAGATTGCCTTCACTCAAGGCGCTTGACACAGCTTACAAAACGGTGACAGAACAGAATAATTTAGATGGCAGAAACGTAAAAAGATTGAGGAATGAGTGACCGCAATAGAGGGTACTTATGGATCACGAAAGGGTGGGGGAGGGATGGGAAGGAGTGGAGGGGCGAGGGGAGGGAAGAGGAAGAGAATTGTCAATAGCAAAGAAATGAAGAGAGGAACGGAAGAAGGTTAAGGAGGAGGACTGCTAAATGTACAAGGGAAGTTAATTCCAGTGGAGGGGTCCAAGGAGGGTAGAAGGACTAAACATAGGATTGGGCACAGGGGGGAGAGGGACAGAGATAGACAGAATGAAGAGGACAAGAGGAAGGGACATGGAAGGAGACGAGAGAGGAAAGATCTGTCCAGGATAATTTTGCACCTCGGGAGGTGGCAACCTTAGATTGGTGGCATGTGTCACGCGATGACGTGTCTCTCGCGATGACGTGTGTCTCGCGATGACGTGTCATGTGATTGACGTGTGTCTCATGATGACGTGTCTCTCGCGATGACGTGTGCCACGCGATGACGTGTGTCTCGTGATGACGTGTGTCTCGCGATGACGTGTGTCACGTGATGACGTGTGTCTCGTGATGACGTGTGTCTCGCGATGACGTGTGTCACGTGATGACGTGTGTCTCGCGATGACGTGTGTCTCGCGATGACGTGTGTATAGCGATGACGTGTATCGCGATGACGTGTGTATCGCGATGACGTGTGTCTCGCGATGACGTGTCATGTGATTGACGTGTGTCTCATGATGACGTGTCTCGCGATGACGTGTGTCTCGCGATGACGTGTGTCACATGATGACGTGTGTATCGCGATGACGTGTGTATCGCGATGACGTGTGTCTCGCGATGACGTGTCATGTGATTGACGTGTGTCTCATGATGACGTGTCTCGCGATGACGTGTGTCACGCGATGACGTGTGTCTCGCGATGACGTGTGTCACGCGATGACGTGTGTCACGTGATTGACGTGTGTCTCGTGACGGCAGGAGAGCTAGCGGATGTGCTGCAGGAGGCAGAGGTGCCGCTCGTGCCCCACACCAAGTGCCAGGATGACTGGCGCGACCGCTTCGACATCTCGGACAACATGGTGTGCGCCGGCTTTGCCGAGGGCGGCTCCGACACGTGTGGGGTACGTCGCACTCCTGACCCCCTCGCATGCGCGTCTTTCCCTGGCACGTCGCAATCTCACAATGTTGTTATAGTGATCTCATGATATTATAGTAATCACGCAGCGTTATAGTAATCACGTGACGTTTTAGTAATCACGAAACGTCATAGTAATCACGTGACGTTATAGTAATCACGTGATGTTATAGTAATCACGTGACGTCATAGTAATCAGGTGACGTTATAGTAATCGCGTGACGTTATAGTAATCACGGGATGTCATAGTAATCAGGTGACGTTATAGTAATCACGTGACATTATAGTAATCAGGTGACGTTTTAGTAATCACGAGACGTTATAGTGATCATCATCACACCGGGGTCGATTACTACTTCGAAAGGTCAACAATGATCACAACCTCCGATTGGCACGGTTGGCTTTTCACGGTGTGAAAGAAGTTTAATATACAAACATACCCTCGTGTGTGTGCTTTTTTTTCTCCCTTCCGGGTCGTCCCGTCGTCTACCAGGGAGACTCAGGCGGCCCGCTCATGTGCGAGGAGCAGGGCCACTGGCACCTCGTCGGCATCAGCTCGTTCGGTGACTACCAGTGTGGCCTGCCCAACCGTTCTGGCGTGTACACCGACGTCCTGCGGTACCAGCACTGGATCAGCAGCATCGTGGAGGGGGCACAAGGCAGCAGCGGCGGCTCGTGGGAATGAAGAGTCGGCAAACCGGGGGCAGTGGGGAGCGTGCGGTGCCTTGCAACACGCGTGGCCGTTGTTTCTGGCCACGAGTGCCTTGTGCCTCCGATTACCACGGTTGGCTACGTACGGTGCAAAATAAGTTAACTGTGCAGGGTGGTCCAGATGTCTTGTGATCCCCATTTAATTCACTAAAAAAAATTTAAGTCAACTTTCTTTCAAACGGAAATACATATGCAAAGGAAAAAACAATTAGGGGAAATCTTGAATTAAAGCTGTCGTGACTGCAGGAATTAATATTCTTTGGGGCTTTCGGTAAAGTCACGTGGATAGGTTAAAAGAAAATAACCAAAAACTACGTTTCGATCGCAACACAAGCGTTCGTCGCCACACAAGCGATCGAAACGTCGATCGCTTGTGTTGCGACAATCCAAATTTCCTTTGCTTTTTTGAGCCACCCTGTAATTGTACAACTTGACCTAAGTAAATTTTTGACCTAAGTAAATTTTTTACTTACCATTTTGAGGTTCGGTTCTAGGAGTAATGGCTTCCATCTGACGATAGCCATTTTGAGCATAACTTCTCGTTGGCTTCGTGAAATGTGATTTGCCAGCAATGGAAAAGTCTCTCTCTCCTTGACTCGCCTTCCCTTCAGCCACATCCCAATCACGTGGTCCCCCGCTTGCTCACCCCTGGTGCCGCTCTCCCCTTGCTCCCCCTCAAGCGTGCCGCCACCCTTCCACCGCGCACGACTTGCGGTGTAAGCCGCCCTGCCCACGCCTCAGTCCAAGTTTTCACCGCTGGTGTTTTCACTGGGTTCAGTTCCCGTAAAAAATCCACCCACGCTGTGTTAAACAGTCCCTCGTCGTCGTTGTCGTCATAGTGCGGTGCTCATCTTAGGTGAAACCACGCCGTGCAGGTAAAGCCACTGTTGTTTTTAAACGCTTCGTCGCCAACCTCTTTGGCTGACAATCGTGCTCGCGTTTGTGATGATGTTTTTCGAAAACGTTGCAATGAGCGATGCCATATTTTGACTATTTTGGGAAAATAAAATTTAAGTGATTTGGTAGGTGCATTTTTAAACCGATTTTTAAGCCTTTACACTATGTTGTCATAATCGCTGATTGAACGTTTGATTAAATGTGCGCTCGGTGAATGAAAATCATATCTGTTCAGAAAGAGTAATGTGGTATTGGTCTGTAAATGTCAATAGCTAGAAAGTCAGGGGTGTTCAATAATTGGCAATGAATATCCAGAATCTGGCTGGCCTGGAATGTGATACAATGTGTAAGAATAATAATAACGAGATTACACAATGCTCCTTTACCAAAGAAAGCCTTGACGTAAGATGAAGTCTTTCTTAACGATGGCTTCACGAGTGATGTATGGAGAACATTTTCCCTATTAACTTTATTACGAGATTTTTTCAATAAACAACGTTTTCTATTGCAGTGAAGCAACAAATAATTGACTGCTGTGTTTGTGGGTTGAAATGAGTATATGTCGACACCAATGAAGCCAATTACGTTACAATTGTATAATTCATCCACTTGTGTAAATGTGAATAATTTTCGCCAAGAGAGACGTCTCCGTGAATTGCATATCACAGATTAGAAGGTGCAATTGCAGTACTTCCATTGTATGTCTCTTAATTATCACCTGGTCCAGGTGTGAAACCTTTGTCGGTGCTTGGTCGGTTGACTGCATTCAGATGGATGGCAGTGGTGGGGCAGTAACTAAAGACGGAAGTTAAAAGCAGTTAATATTTGACCTTGCAAAACATGACAAACAGTATCTTGAGATGCGGTTACATCTCAATGCTTTATTAATCCCATTTTTTTGTTATCTGCTTATGAGGCTGAGAGCAACGATGGAATTTCTTGCATGAGAAGGTGCATTTTACTCGTGAAATTCACAGTGTGAACAAGAGGAGGCTTGGATAATTCGAGTAAATCCTATCTTCTTCTTGGTTCTTTCGGTAAAGTCACGTAGAAGGGAAATAATAAAATAATAAAAATAAAACATAATAAAATAATTCTCACGACGTTTCGGCAAGCTTCAGACGCTGTCTTTCCGACAGCCCTGTTTTTCACCTGAGGACGGCTGCTTGCGTTGTGGCCTAAACATCGTGAGAATTGTATTTTATTATGTTTTATTTGTATTATTTTATTATTTCCCTACTACGTGACTTTACCGAAAGAATCAAGAAGATGAATCCCTGCAGTCACGAAAGCTTTAAATCGAAAAATCCTATCTTCATTATTTCTAAACGCAGCTGTTAAAAGCGGACGACCAGACCTAGAGAGCGCACTGCGACAGTTGCATTTTTAAATGGATAGACTTGCGTAAAGTTAGAGCAAAAGCCACGAAAAACACATTTGGCAGGTTTAAAATAAATTGCGCTCCTGTAATCGTACGCAAGACATTGTGAATGTTGCGGACAAAGGCGTACCACACAATTTGGATTTGCACCACATCTGAAGCAACGACGAAAGAGCGCAAATTCAAAACTCGCAAAGTTAATAAAAGGGAGTTGTTTTTGTCAAGTTTCATACCACTGCGCTTTCCCTCGGATGCCATCTGTTGCGGCCGGGGACCGCCGCCCATTATAACTCCCGCGTGGAAAGTTCTGCCCAATTTTCCCCGCTCATGGCTTCAACGGTACACCGGCCCCATCGGCAGGAAGCACCAGGAGAGCATCTGACGCCTTTGCTGAGCCCCCCCCGCCCCGGAGTAACCCGGAACCCCGGTGGCAAAAACACTTGAGTTAGCGACCTGCTCCATCTGAGACAGCGAGGATAAAGCTTTGCGTGGAACTTAAACCGTACGTCTATAACGGGTTGGCAGCCAAAAAATACACAAGAAGAGACTTTTTTTATTTCAAATTCGGTTTTAAAAAAACTCAATGGTTCGAGAGCCGCAATGCAATGTGGTGAATACGAGACGGTGTGTCCTCGATAAGTAATGTCACGAAGCAGTCCTTAAAGAGCCGCATGCGACTCCAAAACTGCAGGTTGCCGACCCCTGGTCTGGAAGGACATGCCATGACTGAGATAATATGAACATGCTGGTAACTCTCTCTGGGCTTTCGGTGGGCGGTTTAAATAGATCGCTTTTTTTAAGTATTCGAACAAGTACTTTTCTCAAAGACCTCGAGTTTGATCGTGCCTCACGACGTACACAATTTCAACAGATCAATAAGACTCCAGTAATTTAAATAATTACGTTTTGGGTTACGTCGCACGAGTACAATGCCATTGTGGGGTTCACGGTGGTGAGATGTTAACTACCTTGCCTGGTATGCAGGAGGTCGTGGGTTTGATCTCGACCCTGATTCCTGCTGTATATTGGAGTTTGCATGTCTCTCTCCCCATGGTCACGTGGATTTTTTTGCGGGTCTCCGATTTTTCCTCCCACATTTAGAACCATGCGTTTAGATTATTTGGCTGCTATACATTTCCACGTGATAAGCAACTTCGTTGAACTATCATTTGTGTCCAGGTCGCTTCTAAAAAAGAGTTATATCGCTCAGTGTGCATTACCTGGTAAAATAAAAAATAGTTAAAACGTGATTTTAAGCTTTCGTGACTGCAGGAATTACTCTTTGGTTATTTCGGTAAAGTCACGTAGAAAGAAAATAAATTAAATAATAGAATACGACGTTTCCATTGCAACACAAGCAATCGTCATCAGGTAGAACTAAATTTGAGAGAGAGACAAAACACAGACACGGAGACACACAGACAGACACACAAGCATAGAGAGACAACACAGAGACACAGAGAGAGACGCACAACATAGACACACCGTGTGTGTGGTTTGTCTCTCTCTCAAATTTAGTTCTACCTGATGACGATTGCTTGTGTTGCAATCTAAACGTCGTATTGTATTATTTAATTTATTTCCTTTCTACGTGACTTTACCGAAAGAACCAAAGAGTAAACAATAGTTGTAGGTTTTTTTTTCAATGTGTGTCGTACACCCCTCCTCCACGTGGCACAGCCAAATAAAGTTGTCACGTGAACAAACGTGTGATCCGACCCATCCCATATTAATTATGTACAATAGTTAATTTTTGAAATACTGTTTGATTATTGAAGGGTTTGTTACTCAATAGCGACTGATAGATAACTATTCGTATGCAGATTTAATAACTGATCATCAGAAAACATTTTGTCAATGTAATTCTCACACTCTTTGGTTATTTCGGTAAAGTCACGTAGATAGAAAATTAATAGATTACGACGTTTCGATCGCAACACAAGCGACCGTCTTCAGGTGAGAGAGAGAAAGCTACTGAAACAAGGTCTTATATAGGCCTGAGATGGGTGCAGCCTAAGGAAAAGAGGGCGGGGCTAGAGATGGTCTCCCTGAGGCTGTGGAAGTGGCTATTGTATTGTGAGAGATTAGCATGTCAATGCACGAGCTTAGTATGTCGCAGCATAGGTGACTGAGCGAGAAGGACATCCAGCCTGTCAATACGAAGACATCCAACCCAATAATGCAACTCAGAGAGTCAGCTAAAATCGTAGGAAAGATGGAAACATCACAGCAGGTTAAGATTTTACCTGGTTAATCACGTCCTTACAATGATTGCTCAATTTGTACCCATCTTTTCGGTTTAAGTTGTGTCTGTGTTTATATATCTGGATCGCTTCATGAACAAATCTCTGATGATAGCCAGTGGGTTTGCAGAGTACCTTCGTCTTGGAAAAATCTATTTCGTGTGAGCCCACTGCGTTAAAACAATGATCATCAACGGCAGAGGTATTGGTCCTACCGTGTTTCAGATCTGCCTTGTGTTCGCGAACACGGTCCGAGACATGTCGTTTCGTTTCCCCAATGTAACTGCTGCCGCAGCCACAACTTGTTTTGATGAGGGAATTCTTCTGGGCTGGATGATGGTGGGAGTCAGGTTTTAGGTAGGCATTTGTGTGGGTGGATTTTCTGTAGACAAAATGTCCCAACGAGCCATCAGGTCTCTTCTCGATCAAAACATCCAGGAATGGTAACTTGCCATCCTTTTCCACTTCCATGGTGAATTTGATGGCTGGGTGTATGGAATTGATGTGGTTGAAGAATTTATTTTAGCTGACTCTCTGAGTTGCATTATTGGGTTGGATGTCTTTGTATTAATGGGCTGGATGTCCTTCTCACTCAGTCACCGATGCTGTGATATACTAGGCAAGTCACCGATGCTGCGACATATTAAGCTCGTGCATTGACATGCTAATCTCTCATAATACAATAGCCACTTCCACAGCCTCAGGGAGACCATCTCTAGCCCCGCCCTCTTACCCTGAGGCTGCACACATCTCAGGCCTACATAAGGCCTTGTTTCAGTAGCTTTTTCTCTCTCACCTGAAGACGGTCGCTTGTGTTGCGATCGAAACGTCGTGATCTATTAATTTTCTATCTACGTGACTTTACCGAAAGACCCAACGAGTATGGATTCCTGCAGTCATGAAAGCTTCAAATCAAGAATGTAATTCTCACCAGGCCCCAAGCTGTAAGGTGTGTTCTGCAACTCTTCTTCTGCACTTTGTCTCTCTGGCCTCTCTATGTGCTATGCAGAAGGGCCATTGCCCAAAACGTTGCCTATTATATATTTTTCATTATCAATGTGTTGAGTTTTGTTGTTTGTTTGTGCTTGTGCACCACTGCCAATGCAATGTCATTGGATAATTTGTTTCATTGCATGACAGGGTCACACCAATTGGCTCCACAGACTTTGGAAGAATGGGGACCCTGGCCTTCGTTGTAGTGCTTCTTGGTGCCCTGTCCACAGGTAAGAGGAAATTTGCATGTTCACATTAAGTGGGTGACGTTATCATTTTGCCTTTTGGTACAACTGTAAAGTTGAGTTCCAATTCCAATCCAGCGGAAAGGTACTAATCCAGCTCACCTTGGGGGCTAAACAAATGCTCTGTGCCCTCACACTTAACCCTGTATAACAGGGGAAGGGAAACGTTTTCCAAGTGTTGCAAGCTTAGTGAGTTTTTTGGCACAGGACTTTTCTGAGTTTCACGATCAACAAAATATTGTCATAAGCAACTCGTAACGAATGCGATGGCTTTCTGCGGTTGATTTGGAGAGGGCCCGCTTTTGAGGCGTTGACACCATTGGACCCTTTCCATACGAAAGACCAAATGGGATTTTCAAATACCTTTTGAGCAGGCCACGCATTGACACACACCTCAGCCACTCGTGTCACTGCAGTGATACAATTGACTGATCGCGATAAAATTTGAAACACAGTATCGTTGCCGTGTTAAAGATCGTCCCCTGGAGTACAAGTTTAGAGCGCCTATGCTGCTTACAGTGATGGGTTAATTTTGTCTGTGGGTTAAATTGGTAGATCTAATGTGGACCTCGCAGTAATGAAGTTAAGTCGTGCACTATGACTCATTATACTGTAGTGTATACTGTAGCGTCTATTATCACAATGTGGAGAGTTTTTAATCAGTATGTTGATGCATTTGCATGCACATTTATGACGCATATCAGCGTTGGAGCAAAGGAAACTGAACTATAAAACCAGTAACCCAAGTTCGATTCCCAGCCAAGGCTAACATCAGTGGCGAGTGATTTTTGAACCTGTTCTGGGCACCTTCCTCAACCTGCACTGACCAGCGTAGTGAAGTATGGTCAAACAACCCCCGTGACTGACAGTGTGGGGAAGGCCTTCATCCACCAGTAAATTCAGAAAAGGTTGGACATTTATATCATAATTATTACGAATAAAATGTGTTTTTATCGTAAGCTACTCCCTGGCTATATTATTTTGGGTGTGAATATGGGATTTTCTGTCAGTAAACCACAACGATGGTATAAGAATAGGTGCACACGCACTGTAGACAGTGTACACACGTACACAATGGTCATACCCCACATATACTTCATCACGAGCTGTGGTCTATACACTGCTGGATGAAGGCCCAGTGGCGTTGCCATCCCTCAGACCTGCGATGCCGCAAATTCCATCTCACCATTGGAACCTCATTTGCCAGTAAAAAATATGCTCATTGTTTTTTTTTACCCTTTTATCTGGCAACAAAACTGACACCTTTTTTACAAGGAGTCATGTTTGCATTGACCACAATACCTGCGGTCGGAATGCGTCATCTGGTCCAACACCATGTGAGACTAGGCTCTAAGGAAAGCTGTCTCGGGTGTGGACCAATCAACTTCAAGGATAGTGCATACATTATCAGAGTTATGTTTTTCCATCTCACTCCTCGCACACCGTCTCACATGCAGCACCTGTAACGAGTTTGCGTTTTGCAACGGCTTAATTACATCGATGCAAGCTCACATTTAATAACACACTAGTGTTTTTTTTTAAATCATTAAACCCCCAACATTAACACTCATCGTATAATTTGCATCATTGCTGAGTTGTGTTTTGTGTAAATAACGTGCAATACTGCTTGATTGTAAATTAAATATATTCGAGGCGTTATTTTAAATGTTTAAGTCAAGAATACCAAAGTGTTTGTTAGACTGACGATGGCTGAAATTTCCTTGCCTAGTCTATAAGTCACAAGCCAAAAATGTTGGCTGCAGCACACTTTCATGGGCAGGCACAGGCATTTCGCTACTATGCAGTAAACGCAGTGAAACAGGGCATATTAAATACTACGCGGTCAGTAAAATGTAAATATTGTTGAACGAAACGATTTGCTGGACATAACCGTGGAAATTACGCTCTCTGCTCTATGTTTTGTTTTGATTTTAAATATCAAACACGCACCCACACGCCCACAGACGTGTATAATCCCAGATACCACCCAGGAAACTCTTCAGTGCAATTTTTTTATTATATTATTTAACTAGCTGTACTACCCGGCTTCGCCCGGGATCTTGGATTTACCACGCCCAGGCGCCCTTGTCTCCCCAGTGGTGATGTTCACACACCACACCAGTTACTCGTTTGAGGCTGAGTCGACCTAGGGGAGGCCCGGGACCGGTTGAAATAATCGTCACCGGTGGTGGTCGTGAGCGGGAATCGAACTCGGGTGGCCGGGTTCGTAACGCAGCGCGCTAACCGCTACACGACAATGCGTTACGTTTCCACATGCGCGGGTCACATGACAGATGTGACGTCACAGCTCACTTGCCGTGCAAAAAATATATGCATTATTGAGCTTCCACCCCCCCCCCCCCCAAAAAAAATCTAAGTCTATTTTTATAATTTTTGCATGGTGTCCAGTCTGGAAAGTACCCACATGGCAAATTTCAAGTTTGTTGCATGTCGGGAAGTACGCTAAACATTTTGAACAATGATGCAGCCAATTCAAAGAGTACGATTTCGGCCTCTATTATACACAGACCAACTAAAACTGACTGCCAATTTTGTATATTTAAGAGATTATTATTATCAAGTACGCATATATAGACACAACATGTCAACAAAGTGTAAAGCTAAAACAGCTAAAAGAACTTCTGGCTCGCTCCACTGCTGGCGGAAGGGCCTCCACCAGAGGGAGCTCTAGAGAGTCCCTCTTGAGGGTATTCGGCCTACTCTTTCACGCTAATGTTATATTTTGACATATCTTAAAAAATGTCGTCGCATTATAGATACGTGTATGTGCACGTAATAATAACAACAGCACACGTCGATCGAATATTTGTAAGCATGATTCAAAAAACACACACGTACTGCATATATGCATCATGTTAAATAGCAGACAAAGGTAAAGCATGTAAATTGTGTGCTATAAACACGTATCGCGCTGCTCGAGTGTAACCACTGGGACGAGACCACGCCTCACCCTTTCGGGCACCACGATGTGACCGCAGAAGTGAACCTGGTCCCACCCACCCTCCCCTTTTTCCACCCACCCATTGACCATCCACCTCCCACCTAACCACCCACCCAGCTACCAAACCATCCAACCACCCATTCACTATCCACCCCCACGTAACCATCCACCCACCCAGCTGTATAGCAAATGAAATAAGTATAACCAGTAAAAACAAAGTTTTTCACTATAAATCCTTTATATGCGTGGTGGCTAGAGTCCTCTCGTCCTCTGGCTTGAGATTGCTGCCACCTATGGGTCAGATGATTGTCTGCCAGTATTAAGCAATTGGTAATTAAATATTTAATTTGTTTTCCCTAAACAGTGTAAAATTTTGGAAAAAAATTTTCACGAAAATTAATTGTCACACACAACGAGTGTGGAAAATGTCAGCTCGATTGGATCACGGGAAGTGGGTTAAAAAACGAGCGAAAGATTTGCACGGTCCTAAGCAAGCAAGCGAACTTAATATAAAGGATTTAAAAATATATTCGCCTGTGGAGGACGCGGGGATCGATCTCGCCACCTTTGGCATGGGAAGCGAGGGCGCTACCAACTGCGCTACTCCGCCACGGCCTGTGGAGGGGTTACGCTCTGGGCTCCTACACTGTGACGTTCAGCCAAAGCCATGAATGAGTTCTATTTGAATAAATGTAAAATAAAAAAATTTTGCCTAAAAACTGCAAAATGTCAGCTCGATTGGATCACGGGAAGTGGGTTAAAAAACGACCGAAAGATTTGCACGGTCGTAAGCAAGCAAGCAAGCAAGCACGCAAGCACGCAAGCAAGCAAGCATGCGAACTTAATATAAAGGATTTTAAAATACAATTTACTATGCAAGTGAAAGATGTATGTGTTTTAATATTTATGTGTGTTTTTTATTTAGGGCCCCCTTTATAACATCCTATAGGCCCCGCACTAGCTTAATCCGGCACTGCACCCCGCCACCACAACACATGTGCAATCACAACCCTCACCTTCTCTCCCCCCCCCCCCCGTTCCAGGGAAAAGCATCGAGTCGGAAATCATCGCCACCACCGTGGGCTCCTCCGTCATGATGCCCTGTGGCTCCACCATTGACAGGCGGCGCGGCAGCTCAACGAGGGCCCTCCCACACCAAACCCACCGATGGGACACCCCGGCGGGCAGTGACTTACCCCCCAAATTGAGACGCACTGTGCGACGTGGGCAAAAAGAAGGGAGGGAAGGAGGGGGGGTGACAATTTGGTTCGCTAATGCGGGACGGTGTCAAATTTGGGCGAAATGAAACGACGATGTGGCAAATGTTTAACGTCCGCACGGCCCAAAACCTTCTCTCTGCTGATAACGCGGCTGACCGTGGAGGATTCCGGGACGTTCTTCTGCACCCTGTCGCTGAACACCTCGAACACGGAGCACAGCAAGGACTACATCATCAGGGTTTACGAAGGTGTGGCGGAAAACCAGCGGCAGTTGAGTCGCATCCACCAACTTACCCTTCAAGTTGGCTCCACTCGCGCAGGAGGTGCTCAGTAGCCGAGTGCTGCTCGTGATGATGCGAGGTCAACTCTCGCTCATCTGAGTTCACGGCGTGACTGGGACTCGTGGGGGTGGGGGGGGGGGGCAAAGTGAGGGTGGCCTGGAATAAATAAAATATTTTACAGATTATGCAAAACATGTGAATTAGGCTATAAAAAGTATGCATTGTACACCTACGTAGAGTGTAGGCGAAGACTTAAAATGCGTACTAGACATCTTACTAGACATCTTACTTAAAGTGCAGCAATTGTATTAAAGTGCAGTAACGATTAAGGAAAAGTGGATAATAACTATCATTATAAGAAATAATAACAATGCCACTACAATAGAATTGTGTATTAGTTTGCACCGCCACTTTGTTTCGTTCCGTTTCCAGATCTGGCGGCGCTCATGGAGAACGAGGACGTGCGGAGCGAGCGGCGAAACTCCACAGCAGAGACGAACGCCACGGTCGTCGAGAGCTGCCGGATCGCCGGGCAAAGCTACGCCGTCCACTTTTTGTGCACGGCGGCCGTGACCGGCGCGCTCCTTCTCGCCTTCGCCGTTCACTGCTTCCTACACAGGCGGAGGCAACGACTATGGAGTGAGTCATGAAGGGCACCGACACATTCCACAAATAAGACTGCATGGGCCTGATGAAGGAAAAATATATATAACTAGCGGGAAGTACCCGGCGTTGCCCGGGTCTTAAAAAATTCTTACAGCAGTGCGTACTGACTGTGGTGGTACCTGCTATGATTACAGCAGGGCATACTGAATGTGGTGGTACCTGCTATGATTGCAGCAGTGCATAGCGACTGTGGTGGTACCTGCTATCACTACAGTAGTACATGCTGACTCTATAGCAATTTTATCGACTGTATAGCACAAATTAAAAACCTGACAGAGTGGCGTGGTGAGGCTTAGTCCTGTGTGGTGCTACCTGCTATGATTACAACAGTGAATACTGACTGTGGTGGTACCTTCTATCACTACAGTAGTACATGCTGACTGTATAGCAGTATTTATCGACTGTATAGCACAAAGCACTCACCTGATAGCGTGGCGTGGTGAGGCATAGTCCCATGCGGTGGTACCTGCTATGATTACAGCAGTGAATACTGACTGTGGTGGTACCTGCTATGATTACAGCAGTGCATACCCACTGTGGTGGTACCTGCTACATCTAGCGACTGTATAGTAGTAATAACTGCATGCATCGTGGTGGGGAAGACATCACACTGAAGATTTTTATAACATTTTAACGCGAAAGTAAATGCCCCCCCCCCCCACCAAAGGCGCGTGAGTCCGTATGGTCAGATGCGCATGATAAATAAATAAATAAACATGTCTACTGCCTATAGTGCTAGCATCTAGCGACTGTATATATTAGTAACTGCACGCGTCAGGGTGGGGGGGGGGGGCGGACATGACACAGTGAAGAATTTACGTCAGCGTTTAGTGTATTTTTATAGCATTTTTAACGCAAAATAAATTTTCCCCCTGACTCCCACCGAAGGCGTGCGACTTGGCATGGGCCGTTCCCCCCACCAAAGGCGCGTGAGTTGGTATGGCCGTGCACGTGTCATAAAGAAATAAAAGTGAAGCGCGGAAAAATCGCACTAAATCGCTAATTGAACTGATTTAAAGTTGACGGATGTGAAAAAGGAATAGCGCTTGCTGACCGCGGGGAATACGGCGTGGTACCTGGCTATTTTTTTTATGTAAACCCCACCGTTGGAGAGCCAAGCGAGCGACCACACACAAACCCACAATTTTTGACTTATATATGTAGATATATATTTTTCAGTACAGTACACAAAATCCGTGTTCTAATCCCATCTGTGAAGGATGTCATTCCTGACATGCAATATCCTGGAGTCTACAAATTAAGTTGCACCTGTGGTGATTGTTACATTGGGAAAACAAAACGTCATGTCTCGGACCATGTTCGCGAGCACAAGGCAGATCTGAAACACAGCAGAACTAATACCTCCGCCGTGGCTGACCATTGTTATAACGCTGTGGGCTCTCATGATATTGTTTTTTCCGAGACCAAGGTACTCTGCAAACCTTCGGGCTACTATCAAATGTTTGTTCATGAAGCCATCCAGATATATAAACATAGACATAACTTCAACCGGGAAGATGGATACAGATTGAGCAATCATTGGAAGGATGTTATTAACCAGGTAAAACCATAACTGCTTTTGGCCTGTCTTCATATCTGCATCTCCAGTTTCCGAACCCTCCCACTCCCAGCCCCGCCCACTTCCCTTCCCCGGCATTTTTTGCAGTGCTTGTGTCTTACTTGTAGCCTCCACTCCCTCTACCCCACACTCTCACCCTCCCTGTCTCTCCTCCCTGGCTTCCCCCTTCTCTTGCCTATATGGCCTCTTGTTGCAGCAGCCCCTTTTGCCCACTTCAGCAATTATTTCTTGCTGTGGTTGTCCCACCTGATGACAGACGCTTGTGTTGCGCCTGAAACGTCGTGATTTAATTAATTTTATTTTATACCTACGTGACTTTACCGAAAGAACCAAAGCGTATATAAAATGCGCAACTTTTGGGAAATGACCCTTCTTGATAGCACGTAGAGAGGCCAGAGAGACAGAGTGCAGAATAAGAGTTCTAGACCACACCTTGCAGCATGGGGCCTGATGAGAATTACATTCACAATATGTTTTCTGATTAAATTGGCATACGAATAGCTACCTAACAGTTGCTATTGGGACACCATGGTGGCGAGATGTTAACTACGTCGCCTGGTATGAAGGATGATTATGGGTTCGATCCCAACGCTGACACCTGCTGTATATGTGGAGTCTGCGAGTCTCTCTCTCCCTGTGGTCACGTGGATTTTCTCTGGGTCCTCCGGTTTTTCCCTCCACATTTAGAAACACGCGTTTAATGTATTTGGCTGCTGCTATACTTTTCCACGTGATAAGCCACTTCGTTGGTCTATCATTTGTGGCCAGGTCGCTTCTGAAAAATAGAGCTAAATAGCCCAGTGGGCCTCACCTGGTAAAATAAAAATAAATAGTTTTGTTTTAAGACTTTGCTTTCTTAGCAAACCGGCGAGTGCTCTTCGACCACAGCCTCCTACGCGAGCGCTTATCGCATGTTGGTTATCGGCAAAAACTCGTGAATGCCGATAACCCGTAAAATATTTACCACACCACCTACTCCTCCTTCTCCTTACCCCCACCCCCACTTTCCTCGGAGAAATATTTGGCGGAGCTCGGGTACTTAAGCGGCCGTGGCTAAAATATGTATTATTTAATGGGGCTCTCCATCGATGGTCATTGTGGAGGGGACGTGCGTTGCCTTAAAGGCGTTTGCTGGAAAACAATTATCAATTGTACCAACCCGTTTATTATATGATGTATTAAAAAATACCTGATTTGAATCCCTCTTACTCAACGGCGCCATTAACTGCATTTATCGCGTTCTTAAATGGTTTCTTTAACAAAACCCAGGTCGCCTTTTCAAAAGAGGCAATGCTGTTTCACGCGTCTCAACGGGGTATATTTCATCTCCAGATTAAATAAAGGATATGACAACCACAAGAACTCTTTTATGTACGCATGTTGAACTTCTTTTGCACCGTACGTAGCCAACCGTACTAATCGGAGGTGCGGGGGGGGGGGTAACAAACTAAATTCCTATGTCACGTGTTGAGAATGAATACTGTACTCGATTCATAGAATGTTGCTTCATCCACGATGCTTCATTGACTTGGACTAATATAGCATCTCATTCCGATTCATCAAGCGTTCAGACTCAGGAGGTTGTTTTCTATGATAGGTTTGATTCAATGCTTGGACAACATTTGAATGTGAAGTCTTGTTATAATTTCTTTCCACATCACCTCGTCTTGTGCCTGTTTTATTGACTTGTGTTAAGAGTTCCCATGATAATTTGTTGTACCGTACTCATTTTTGCTGTGCCTTATCGTTGTCGTGTTTATTTGCTTCTGTCACTCGAATCTCCCTTGCAAAAGAGACTTGTATTATTGGGCCCTCACCTTGTGATAAATAAAGATTTCTCCGTCTGTATTCAGAGCCTCATACACAAGAAATCTGAAAAAAGTCTCCCACCATAAATGTATTCCTCTCATACGGTGCTCGTGATTAGATTTTTTTTATTGCCTCGTTTTTACAGTCTCATTTGCATTGTTTCCCATCCTTTCCCATCCCATTTGTACAATCGTTTGCTCCATGAGCCGAAACTTGACATTCGAATATTATTTCCACGCAATTGGCATGAATTCGTTCACAGACAATTCTTACACACGCATGATTCCATGCACGTTATCCTAAGCCTTAAACATCGATATGAATCGATACATAAATTCGTCGGTACACCCATAGTGTTTAATGAAAATTGTCCGCCACTAGTGTACGCTGCAAGACTACTGTCTGTGCGGTATTTTCTCATAAAATCAGGAGAAAATTTGGTATTCACGACATGCCTCTTGCGTGAGGATAACACAACAGCGCTGTGTGTCGCAGATGTAGTCTCCCAGTAGCTTCACAGCAGGGGTGGGGCTGATTATTGCGATGTGTTTTTTTCCAATTTAGTAATTTACACGTTGAATTTTTTTTACATTTGCCAAATGTAGACCGTCATGCTCGCGAAATTAGTCTGCTCTCGAATTTAGAATAACGTTGCGGGGTCGTTGACGTCCGCTGTTTAGCCGACGGGCGTGTGGGGTTTTCATTGTT